CAGTACTTATACCTTCCTGATATTTCAAAACAATAAGAACAAAGGCAAAATGTGGCCAGCCGTAATTCTTTTTTTAAAAAGAATGCTCTTCCAAGCACGATCATTTTTGCATTTTAAGCTCACTTAAATCGTACCAGGCTCACGAGCCCCAGAATAAATCGGGGTTTGCTGTTGTTGCCCGTGGGGGGGGGGGGGGGCGCACGTGGTATTCGGGAGTTTAGCCCCAGGCTGGGATGTTTTCACAATAAAACCCTCTCGGTGTCCCTTCAGAACTGAGTCCCATCGAGTTCAATAAGGCGTATTCCCAAGTCTAGGACTGCAGCCACGCTGTCTTTTTGGGAGCGCTTTTTGAAGCTGGCGGGTTACAAAAGACCAGGAAAGAGGGTAACGCATCTTGCCGAAAAGAAAAACCGCATCTCTGGGCAAGCCAGCCTGGCGTGCGCGCGACCCGCCGTGGCGAGCGTTTTGCAGGCTTTGCTGCTCCGCAGTGCCCTCGTGGCCTCGGGGTGACCCCGGCTTCTGCGGCATCCCCTGCAGCCCCCCGCCTCAGGAGCAAGCCCCACTGGAGCGGGCCCGCGGCAACAGACAGCGCGCTCTGCCCTCTTCCGCTCGCCTCCCGCCCGAATGCCCGGCGCACACGCGCGCGCAGCGAGATGGCCCGCGCCACGCCGCGCCACCGAAGAGCGAGCTGGGGCGACGCCGCCCCGAGGGGCCTGGCCAGCTCTCTCGGCGGCGGTGCCAGGCCAGCGGCCTAGGGTGGAGGGGCAGCGGCTGCCCGGCCAAGGGCAGGGAGGGCGGCGCGCCGGTGCGGAAATGGGCCGAGTGGAAAGCAAACCAGAAGGGAGCGGCGACCCCTTCCCTTCCCTTCCCTTCCCTTCCCTTCCCTTCCCTTCCCGGTCTCCACGGAGAGAGGAGCAGCCATTCTGCGGGCAGAACTGCAAAGCGGCGCGCAGCGCGGGCAGGACGAAGAGCGCCTGGAAAAGGACCGGGGTGGCCCGACGAGGGAGACGGGAGCAGGACGCCTCTGAGCCGGGAGAGCGCGGAGCCGAGAGCGGGGATCAGGGAGAAGCGCGCGCCTGTGCGTGTACGAGGGGGGCGTTATAAAATGCACGTTATGTAAAACGATCATTGCATTAAGAGGTTAAGTTACACAACTATCCCCTGAAAATGGCCGAGCACGCACGAGAGGAGAGGAAGGGAGAGAAGGGCCGCGCCCGCAGCCTCCGTCCTTGCACGACCCGTCCCGGAGGAGGCGCAGCATTCCGTGCGGGGTTGAGTAGAGCCAGGGTCCACAGCTTTCTCACCCTCTGCCTGTGCAGGAATTTATTTGCACGCCCCTTGGGCCCGTCCGCCCGAGAAGGGCTCTTGCGCGCGCCCCGTGAGGCACAAGGCCTCTGGGGTGAGAGGCCTTCCTGGCTGGGGGGTGCACCTACCTGAATGCCGCCTCCCGCTTTGTGCCGGGCTTCACGGGCCACCCTAGAACCACCCACTATGGTGGGCAGGGGGCTTGCTCTCAGGTGGGTAAGCGGGAGCTCAGCCGCAAGAGCCCCCGCCGCGTCCCAAGCGGCCTTCACGCGCCTTCAGCCCCGAGACGGTAGCAAAGCCATCGCTGGCAAGGCCAAGCAGAGAAGCCGCGCGCATCCCACGCAAGGGGGTACAGCAAGCACCTGGGACCCAGGCGGGCTCCTGTGGGTGGGGGCCCATCCAGCCCCAGCCCAACACGGTCAGTCACAGGTGGCACAGTCGAGGCGCGCTCAGCGGAAGCGGCGCGCTGCCTTCCCCCGCAGGCCCGCTCGAGAGGAAAGGCTGCGTGCATCGCGGCCGCTTTGCCCCGCTGAAGACACCCGAGCGGCTCCCCACCTCCCTTCCAAGGGAACGTGTTTCGGCCAAAGCGGCCCTTCCTCCCGAGCGGGCCGCGGAGGAGGAGCGAGGCCTCCTTGCACGGCTCCGCGTCCAGAGGCCTGAGAAGGCGAGGCTGTGTGGATGCCCGGTGGCGTAGGGCCGCGAGCGCCTCTGCTTCTAGTCCTTCGCCGGTTTCTCCATTCGCAGATCGAAACATGCATCCGAGGCTCTTGCGGGGGTTGGAGAACGCGGAGCAAAAAATGCGAGCGCTGAAATCTCTCTCAAAGCGCCGTATGGAAGCCATCTTTAATTCGGGAACATCCAAGCCACGCTGGGGAAGAGAAGGGCGGACCAGCGAAGAGTCTCGAACGCCGTTTCAACGCACCTGTCCTGTTTCCCGTCGCACGTCGATTTAGCCACTGGTCTCTAGGCGTCTGTCTGTCTCTCCAGCCCCACAGAGAAGGGGCGGCGTGTGCTTCCTCGCTGAATTTCTGGCCCTCCTTGAATGCTCTCCGAGGCCCGGGCGCTTCGCATCTTCGCCTGCGCGGCTGCTTTCCGCGCCGTGCAAATATTCCAAACTCCTAAATTTTAGAATGCAACCTGTGATTCTCTGCTGGCTTCTTGCCGTCAATCTTCAAGGGGGAGATTAAAAAGGGGTGGAAAGCCAGATTAAGGGTGGGGGCAGAAAGAGACAAATGCCAGGCGGCTCACACCAGACGCTTCTTGGTCTCCACCCCTCCTTCCGCTACTGCAAAATTTCTTTAAAAGCAAACACAAGAAAACCCGTCTAGCAAGGGGGGAGGTGTTGAGGTTCCACGGAAATGTTAAAAAGGAGGCTGCCTTGTCGGGTGCACGAACCGCGGGTGCTTGGCCTGGCCGAGAGCGAACAATGAAAGGAAGGCCACAGGGATGGCGCGGATTCCAGGCCTCGCCTGACGAAGGTGCAGGTTTCTCGGCGCTTGCCTGCCTGCCTGCCTGCCTTCCGCCCTCCCGGTCGGCGGGCCGGCCGGCCGGCCTCGTCTCGTTTCTTGCGGGTGCAGAGTCGGCGGTGAGGCCGCGCGGCCCTTTGGAGTATCTCCAGAGGGTCCGGGTCAGTCTGCGGCAGCCGGGCTTGCTGAACGCCGCAAGCCACCGGGCCTAGCCGCCCGCGGTGCCCAACTGCGGGCAGAGGAAGCGAGGATCGCGGAAGGAGCCAGGGGAGAAAGGGCGCTCCGGCTAAAGGCCGCGGCAGGCGCGCACGGGCCCAGTGACAGGATGGGCGCTACAGGGTCCCCCGTTACTGTTTCTGAAGTGCGTCGGGCGCGGTCGTGGACAAAAGGCCGGCCAGACTTTCCCCGTCTCTGCAGCTTTCTACCCGCCACGCCTCGAAAAGAAAATGGAAAGACGAAGACTTGACCAACGAAAGAAAAGCCCGCGGCGGAGAAGAAGGGCTGCGGGCAGCTGAAACGAGCACCGCAGCTGCGGGACGGGACGGACTCGCCTCCGAACTGCCCGATTGGAGAAGAAGGAAGCGGGCCGGCTCAAGAGGAGGAGGGTGGGCAGGGGCTGGGCAAAGCCGGCGACGAGCGGGACTGAATTTGCCAGGTGCACCTGACGAGCTGGACCCTCGCCCAGGAAATGGTGGCGCTTTCAGGGAGACACAAGACTGTTCGTCTGCGTGGCGCACGCGCGTGTGCGAGAGTCCACGCAGGAACGCGAGGGGCGGCACGAAAGCACGGGAGGGGCCAGTGGCTTCTCCTCGCCTTCCACGCCTTGCTGGCGGCCTGCTCGGCGCTCGGGGTTGGGCAGCCGCGGGGGAAGCGGCGCAGGGTCTGCGGCACCTTCCCCTCGCCTCCGGCGCAAAGCATCGGGCCTGTCCAGGCCTCCCAGAGGCTCGCAAATGCCCTCTGCGGGGGGCCTCCTCCCCGCGACCCCCGCCAGCGCCTCCCCGAACGTGGGCAAAGGGCCGGCCCGAGGCCAACCGCGGGAGGCGCGCGGCGAGGGCGCAAAGGGATGCCGGGCTCCATTCGCTGCCCTTCTCCCTTCGCCCCTCCGAGAGCAATCCGCTTTTCCGGGAAGCGCGCGCGCGGGGGGGGAGCCCCGCGCCCGGGCTCGGTGATGCTGCGTGACGCTCTTTTCCTGCGACGACCGGCGAGATCGGGCCGGCACCTGGCAGTCCTCCCCCCTCGCGCACGCCGTGCCCGGCCGAGGGGATCGGGCCAGGAGGGCGGCGCGCGCGGGGGGCTCGCGCGGGAGAGAGGACCAGCGCGCAGCCCCACGTCCCGGGGCACCCGCCTCCCCGCGCCAGAGGACCCCGCCAGCTCCCCGCCAGCCGCTTGGAAGAGGCCAGCCTCCCCGCACCCGCTTCGTTCAAATAAACATCTCGCCCCGTCCCCGCCGAAAGATGCACGCGCTGCAACGGTGCGGTCGGGCTCCTCCGCGCTGGGTGTAGCCCGATCTCTGTTCATGGGAAGGGGGCGCCGAGAAGGGGGCAGCGGGTGCGGGTGCGGGTAGAAAGGGTGAGAAAGCCTTTAAGGAAGGGGGGAAGCGGAAAGGAGAGGGGACAGCCGGGCGCGTCCGGAATGGAGGGGAAACTGAGGCCTGGATGAGGGTCTGGGTGAGGCGGGGGGTGCCAGAGGGAGGGAGGCTGGCAGGGGCCACCAGGACCGAATTGGTCTTCTTTCTCCTGGGAGGAGGCTGGGGGCGAGGAAGCCCAAGGCAAGCCGGGCTTGGGGGTGGAGGGGGGGGGAGGAGAAAGGAGGTGTTTGGAGGGGGCGAGAGGGTGTGACGGGACCTGTGGAGGGACGGAAGGACCGGCTCCGAGCGTGGCTTTGGGCAGCGGAAAGAGGAGAGACGCACCTGGGCTGCGCAAAAAGTCGGGCTTGCTTTTACCTGTTCTTTTTATAGGGGGAGGGGAGGGTCTGGAAATTAGCAGCCGGATGGGGCAGGTGGTGGGGGAATGAAGCAGTTCCGCCACCCAGCCCGTGGAGGCAGGATCGGCGATGTGCACCGCAGGGGAACCCGGTCCGGGTAGGAAAAGTGCTTGGCGCGGAAGGGGAGTCCTGAAGCGGCCGGTCCGGCCTTGGAGGGCGATAGAACTGGCCGGGGCGGAAGCGGGGAGGGAGTAGAGCCGCTGCGCGCGGCGCGGTTAGCCAGTCCCCCTCGGACCCTCGCCTTACCTCGCACCAGAATCCGGCGGCAGTAGTCCGCCTCTCCCGCCGAGGACTGGCTGTCCGTCTCCGGGGCGCACTCCTTGGAGGAGCCGGGGCTGGAGGCCGAGGTCGCCGCCGCCAGGTCCTTGAAGCCCGCGCTCCCTCCGGCGGGCGCTGCGCGCAGCTTTGCGCTCTCCAGGGCCGCACCGCTCTCCTTGTCCCGGGCTCGCTCCGCCGGCCCGCCGCCGGGATCTCCCAGGAGGAGGGCACGCCTGCCTGCCTCGCTCCCCCCATCACTCATGCCTGGGGGCGCCCCAGCGGGACGGAACATCCACGCCCCCCCCCCCCCCCCCCCCCCCCTCCCGGGCCCCCCCCCGGGGCCCCACCCCCCCCCCCCCCCCCCCCCCGCACCTCACACTGTCTCTGCCCCTGCGTGCGCTCCTCAGCAGCCGGGGACCGGGGCGCCCCGCGGGCAGGTACTCCAGGCGAGCAGCATGGCGGGAGGTGGACCCCCCTCCAGCTGCCCCCCTCGTCCTAGATCTTTCTGAGAAGCTGTGGGTGCTGGGTCGGGGGCTGCGTCCTCTCGGTCCCTCTTAGGAGAGGCAGCGGGGCGCGGGGCGCGGACGGAGCAGCCCGGGGGCGAAGAAGTTTCCCCGTCCGGATGCGGGCGCCTGCTCTGCCGCCACCCCCATCGATCCCCTCCCCGTCGGGCAGCCCGGGCCAAACTTCACCGGTCCGGCCTGCCTGCGGGAGCGCCCCTTCCACCCCCGGCCATCCCTCTTCGGCGCCTCCGCCTCGCTGCCTCGCTCTCTCGCCCTCCGTCTCCCTCTGATGAGCGAAGGCAGGAAAGACCAGACGCGAGATGCCAGCGCGAGCTAGGCCGGCCCGCCCTCCCCTCCCCTCCCCCTCCGCCTGGCTCTTCCCTCCCCCTCCCCTCCTCTCCCCCTCCCCTCACATCCTTCCAGGTTGGACGTTCTGCGGATGGGAGATCGATGCGTCTTTGGCAACGCGGTGGATAGAGAATGTGCGGGCGGGTGGGGGCGACGGAGGATGGGGGTGGGGAGGAGGGAGGGAGAGGAGGCCAAGAGACAGCCCACCCTCGGTCTCCGCCCCTCCACCCACCGCCTTCTTCCCAGCCCGATTCATTTGTTTAATCAAGACGTCCCCCTGCGCTGGTGCTTTTAGGTCCTTCTGGGGGAGGGAGGGAGGGGGAGGGAGGGGTCCGGCGGGGGGGGCAGAGCGAGAGGTAGGCAGCGAGGAGCGGGGAACGAGCGGGCCATGGAAGCAAAGCAGCAATTTTAAATGGACTGGCGGCCACACACGTAATTTCCTGCTTGCACGTCCCTTTCCATTCATTGGCAAACAAAGAATCGCCCCTCCGCGCCACACTTGCTCTCCCCCCCGCCCCCCCGCGCCCCCCGCGCCGCAAGAAAACTCCCTCGCTTTACACTTGGTTGGAAAGAAGCGTCTCCCAAGCAGATGACGCTGGCGGTGGCGCTAATTTTGCGCCCGAGAACCAGCCGCGGTGGGCATTCGCTGCTGGTTTGCGCTTCCGTGCGCGCGCGGGGCGGGGGGGGGGGGCAGGGCTGTATGTCCCTCTGTCAGGCGCATTGGAGGTAGTCAGTTTCACTGCGGCTGTCGTCAATTTCAGGCCTTTCAGCGCGTCACTTTCAATTGCTAAGTCAGTTTCAGGGTTAGAGAGGCCGGGGACTCCGGGCGCCTTTCGCGAGAGCAGCGCGCCCGAGCGAGCGGGGCCCTCCGGAGCGGAGTGGGAGAGGCTGAGCTGGCGCTGGAGAGGTGAACGGCGCTTCTGATGAGTTGTTTTGATGTTTTAACAGGCGGATGAAAACGTCTCGCCCACTTTGCAAGGTGCCCTTCGGTTGCCGCTGCATTAGGGGAGCGCTGATTATTATGATTAGGAGAGTGGCTGAAAGGGAAATGGGCGGGTTGGCGTGATCCTGGAAGATTTTCTTTTGACACATACAGAGAGACGGGGAAATAGATGGCTCCTTTCAGATTTCTAAGCAACCTTTTAAAACAGACGTGCGGGGGGCCCCGAGAGAATAATGTAAGAGAATGCGGGTTTATTGGGGTGGGTGGGGGCTGTTTTATTGTGTGCCTGGAGATCCCTCTCCCTGAGCGCTCTTCCTCCTCCCATCATCCCTGGACATGTTCTGCCTCCGCCTCCTGCCCGCCCTGTTGCTCAAGCCCGGGAAGGGTCATTCCCAGAACCGGGACGAGTCAAACGCGCGTTTGAATAGCCGCGGCTCTGGAATGGCAGGCGCGCGGCACCGACCAGCGCCTCGCGGGTCCCGCCGCGTTCCTTCCTACTCTGAATGATTTATTTTCTGGGCAGTGGGTTGGAAAATTCACGGGGAAATCCAAACAGAACTGATACCGTCTGGCAGCCATATAAGAGCGCCTTCCGACAACCGGCTCATACACTCCCGAGAAAGGGAATGTGTGTCGTAAAACGCGCGATTTCCACGGAAGCGCCGGCAAGAAGGCGCTGCTCCTCAGCGATTCCACACTCTTCAAGTCTGGTAGCCGGTGGGGGGCCCCGCCCCCTGCGCGTTGCTCCTCATTTGATCCCCTTCTTTCCAGGCAACTAGTTTCACCTGGATCGGGGCCCCTGTAATTCTGCCTGCCAGGCTCATGCGGGATCTGGGTTCCTTGGGAGATCCTCAGCGAGGCGCTGCGTTCGCGCTGCAATCCTGCGCGTGCTGACTCGCAAGTAAATCCAACGGAGGTCTGTGGGACTCACGCCCTAGTTCCCCGGACGGACGCCCGGGGGGCTTCCGGCCTTCCGTTTGTGCCATTTCTGGCCGAGGCAGCCAGGCCGAGAAATGAACGCGCTCCCTGCTTCCGCCGCGCACCTCCGCGACTCCTCCGCGACCCGCCGCGGCAGCGGAGGCGAGGCTGCGAGCAGCCTGCAGTCAACCTGTGGCCTGAAGAAGAAATTCGTCTTCTTCTCCGCAAGCAGCCACCCCGTGCTTGGAGCTGGCGGGTGTTTTTGTCGTGTTCTGCGTAATTCCCAAAACAGGAGGCGAGGAGACACGCTACATATCAGGGCTGAGCCAAAGGTGCGACGCCGGCCTGTGCGTCTCCTTGGAAGTAAGTCCCACTTCGTTCGAGTGCGCCTCTGATTGCAGCCTTAACCACGTGGCTGGGCGCCTCTTACGGGCCGGATGGAACGGCAGCTTTTCTCGACCGCTGCAGTGCTCAGACAGTCTGATTAGTTTTTCTGCTTCTACTTGCCACGGTTGAGGAAGAAAGAAGAGAAATAAAAGAAACTTTCCCCATTTTTCTGTTGAGGAATTTCAACTTTTGTTCATGAAAGGAGGAATTTAGTTTTTGAGATGCTTGGGGAAGAAAAAGATCGGATTACTCTTCAGCCTGAAAACAAAACACACCCCTTTTCTTTTCTTTTCTTTTCTTTTCTTTTCTTTTCTTTTCTTTTCTTTTCTTCCTTCCTTAAAAAAAATAAAAGCTTTAGAGGTAGTTTAAAATGAGAAAGATCCTTTTCCTTTGCCGGAATTTTCTTCTCCTCTCTCAACAACCTTGCTGAGGCTTGATGAAAATGTAACAAACATAGACGCCGCGTTTATCATGCTGAGGGAAAGAAAGGGGACTGGAGAATCGGATGAAAAATCCAAAAATCAGTCCTGGCAAAGATGAGATTTATTAGTCTCGGAAAATGTCGAGGCACACATAAATCACTTCTTTTACACCTTCGTAAATCCAGGAGACCCATACACGCATGAAACCACGCTGAAAACCCATGTCCAGGCTGGCCGCTTTTGTGCGGGAAGTCCACATCTGATCGGATTCGGTTAGTTCCAGTAACTTCAGGAACGCTGAGCTAAATCGGAGCTGAGCCCGCTTCCGGAGGCATCTGCCCAGCTTTCAGGGTGCTGCTCCGTGTGGGCGCAACACGCAGAGGCGCCGGAGCTGAGCCCTTTCCGTGCCTTCACAGCGCATCTCCTCCGCTGCCTTTGTTCCTCATGTCCCCCCCGCCCATGGACAAGGACGGGCCGGGAAAAGGCTGGAATTGGCCGGAATCGCGCCCACTTTCTGCAGCGGCCTTCCTCCGCTGGCAACTCCCATCGCCCCAGCCAGCTCTGCAGGATGGGAAAGAATATTCCCTATATTCTTGGGAAGAATACACTTCAAAGGATGTAAACGTATCCCTTCTCCCTCTCTCCCTCCCTGTTTAAAAATATGTTTTCCCGTAATGCTTTTTGTGTACTAAGCACTGTGCAGCCGCAGAGCCAGAACGGCTGCTGGACAGTATAAAATAAGGAAATAAACGCGGCCGGTTCCTCCCTAAACGGGCTTGTTGGTCAAGGAGGAGGCTCCATGGACCGTCGCCTTGCACGGGCGAAGCAGCCCGCGGTTGCAGTCGCTCCACCGAAGGCCAGGCAGGCCCGGCCCGCGGGCTCCGGGGGGAGCCCACGAAGGGGAAGGGCTGCCACGCGTGGCTGTGGCTGAGCCTGCCCCGGACAGGCACGGCTCCCGGAGAGATGGGCCCGGCGGCCCCCAGCCTCCGGGGGCCCTTGCCAAGCCAGAGCCCTGGGCGACCTTTGCGGAGGGCGACGCAAAACATAAGCAGAAAATCGTGCGGCGCATCATCTGCTCTGCAGGCCTTTTGCAGAAATAATTATAAATTGGTTTTCTGTTCTGTTCTGCTCTGTTTCGCTAAAAAGAAGGCGTGGGGCAGAGAAAATCGGGAGGGCCCGTGCCAGGCTGCTGGCCTATCTCAGACCTGACTCTTTCTTTCTTTTCTTTCTTTTATTTTTTTGCTTTCATGGCTTAAAATTTATATCATATAATTTATATCATATTCCCATCAGGGCATGTCCTCCTGTTTAAGCTCTTCTGTATTCCTGGAAAGTTGGATTTGTCTAAAACCATTTGTAGGCGCCTAGTAATACGTTGCCATGGGACCTAGGTAATTGTGCCTGTAGTTTTCGGCTTTTTGGACTTTGATACCATGTTTTATCTTGTGGCTCTCCAGTATCTTTAACGGTTTAAAGGGCCCAGTGAGCTTTGGCTGCTGGGAGGTAAACAAACATAAACAACAAATCAACAGATTCAGTAGAGATGGCTGCACCGAGTCAGGGTCTTAGCTCTTCATCCTGTTCATATAAACCCAACTAAGCAAATCATGAAGGGGCAGTCGAAAGTCCCTTGGAAGCGACGGAGTGGACTTGGGTTCAAACATGGCGCTCTAGGTTTGAAATTCAGACTCTAAGGTGGGGAGCCTCTCCCTTGGCCCCCGGCTCCGCTAAAAACCCCAAA